TACATATAAAGCATGAAAGATTTAATTCTGATAATATGTCATCAGCCTCAACAATGTCAAAGAGTAAGTGTAGATGACCCAAAGCAAGAGCTAGAAGTGGGCTAAAAGCAGGAAAGAAAAAGTCAGGTGCAGTAACAATCATACTTTACAAAGTGTAAAGACAAGAAATATGTTGAAAGTTGGGTACAACAAAAAAAGTAGACATCTTGGTGTGTTATATAAACTGTAAAGGTATCAAAGGAACTAAAAATAATGATACAACTACCAAAAAAAGAAAGGAAGGCCCTAGCTGGTTTGGCTCAGTGGATAGAGTGTCAGCACTTAAGGGTCCCGAGTTCGATTACCAGTGGAGGGTGTGCAGGAGATAGCCGATCAATGATTCTCTCTCATCATTGATGTTTCCACCTCTCTCTCCCTCTCCCTTCCTCCTTGATATCAATTACAAAAATGAATGGAATGAGATTGGATTGTTGTGGGAACTTCATCAGGCCCACTGCTTCAGCCCTAGTGTACTCAACCCTTGTGAGCACCTTGGCTCCTCCAGGGACCCTAACGTTCTTCGCTAGGGGCCCCTTTCCCTGTTCTTGGCAGAATGCTTTTGCATGTACATAGGCCATTCTGCAGCCATGCAGTTCAAACCTGTTTGTCACATGAAAAACGATTATAAGTGTCTTAGAAATCCTGGCCTTTCTGTGTAGCAGGGCTCCTGCCTGTACAATCTCTTACTTACAATTCCTTTTCCCCAAATTATTCCCTACTCATATTCTTTTTTTTAATCCTTACCTGAGGATATTTTTCCCCCAATGATTACTAGAGAGAGGAAAGAGGGGGGAGGGAAGAGAGAAAGAGAGAGAGAGAGAGAGAGAGAGAGAGAGAGAGAGAGAACACTACATCCACCACCCCAACCAGGGCTGGGGAACCTGCAACCGAAGTACATGCCTTTGACCAGAATTGAATCCAGGATACTTCAGTCCGAGGGTCGACACTCTATCCACTGACCAAAACCAGCTAGGGCACTATCTGATTTTTAAGCATGAATATATATTGCCTTGATTTAAAAAAGAAAAAGGTAATTTTCTACTTAGAACATACACTTCTAAGGACATAAGAACATTTATTTTAATGGGTACAAAAATAATATAATATTGACTAAATCCATAGAGGCTAAAATGAAAATATATTTTATTTATTGATTTTTTACAGAGAGGAATAGAGAGATAGAGAGTTAGAAACATCAATGAGAGAGAAACATTGATCAGCTACCTCCTGCACACTCCCCACTGGAGATGTGCCTGCAACCAAGGTACATGCCCTTGACCAGAATCGAACCTGGGACCTTTCAGTCTGCAGGCCGACACTCTATCCACTGAGCCAAACCGGTTACGGCATAGTGTTATATCTTTAAAATACAAATCTGAAGAGCTGGTAATTAAAAATGAGCAGGAAAAGTAGGGGCCCAGTATTTTCGATTGGAAGACTAATAGGAAGTCAGTCACAAGAAGTTGCCTGCCTTAAGGCAGGTAGCTAACAAGTTAGTTTTAAGAATAATGAGTACATGAACAGAGAGCTTAAGAAAATGCTATAAAGAAGATACTTGAAGCTGGTCATGGGAATTTAAAGACATTTAAAAGAACATCTCAAAAGGGCTAGGAGCCTAGATTGATATAAAAATGCAAAAGAAAGGTGTAAATAAAATAAAATAAATACATCAAGAAAAGATTTTGGATGGTAATAAGGCTTGAAGGAGGTAATGAGAATACCTTGGTATAGTGAAGTCAGAAATAGTTCTGAAAGAAGGTAGCTGAAATGAGATATGTCAAATATTTGCTATTTCAATTTACAAGATTTAGTTAGTAAACATGAGTTCACCTAAAATTCCTAAGAACAAACAGATACAGAGGCAGATACAAGGCAGCAAAATAATCACTTAAGAAAAAAAGGAACAAGAAGTACTCTTTAAATGTTGGCAATTGTTTCTGGTTTCTAGCATTAAGAGGGGAAAGATTTATACCTAGGGCAAGATCAAAGTGGGAATTAAACTTCAGAATCCACCTAACTCCACTTCGATCTAAATTTCTCTGCCATTTCTTTATGATTAGCAATCCTCAGGTAGAAGTTCTAATTCCCCAAGGGAACTAAAATTTCTAAATCCCACCAGATTTATCAAATTACTAGCTGTTCCTATGTATAGGAAGTAGGGAGAAAGAATTATCCCTACACAACCAAAGAACCATGAATCCATTTTATATAAGGTTTTGAACTCAGATCATTAGCATGGAAAAGACAGCTAGAAATAATTACCCACTGATAGAGATCTTACCTTCCAGAAAAGCAAATTCATCCACAGCTTCTATCGCATTATCTGAAACACAAGGTAAAGGAACACCTGACTACCTCTGGTCATGTGGACATCAGCCCCCACAAAGAGCATAACCCACACACTGAAGGAGGCATGAGGCCTTATGCAAACCAGGGTGTTTATAAAATGTGTCCCTTTGCTAACTTGAAATCCATTGCTACTCCACCACCAAATCTTACCTATCAGCTCTCTCTCTACAAGAATAAGAAAGGCCTGGGCAAATATTGTTCAGGGAAGGGAACCTCTTTGCTCTGAGTGTCATCAGAGCAGAGTTTAGCAATATAGCGGGGAAAGTGAAAATACGATTATGTGAAAGTGTGCACATGTATGATGGTTACCACCTAGAAAGAAAACGCAGAAATCAAATCCCCAGTGTCTAGGGAAAAAGCAGTATCAAGCCTGGCACAACCTGGCAGAACGCATAAAGAGGTCTAGTCAGCTGTGGCAACAGCTGGACTCCTTTCCTTCTCTGTCCCGACATCACACCAGCCACCCAACGCCCAGAGACTCTAAACGTAGGGCTTTCTGGCACGATGGCAGCCCCACAGAAATCACAGAGAGACCCTTTGGCACCTCTCATTTTACAGTGAGGCCTTCCCAACCACTAAGAGGGAAGCTCCGCCCCGCCTCCTTGGCAGCAGATGCCCCAGGGACACTCTACCCAAATCTCTCCGCTGGAGGGTTTTCCGCTTTCCTTGTTGAGCGCAGCAGTAGGCATCTTTCGCAATAGTCTCCACAAACAGTTCCTGTGAAGCAAACGGGAGAGGTGTACAGTAAGCCCTCACTTAATCTTCTGAGGCTTTAGGCGAAACGCCACATAACCAAACCAATTTTACCTTAGACGACGTGATACAAACAACAACTAAGCTCCTATGGCACCTGGTCCAAATTACACGGGAAGGATGCTGAACAGATACGGGGTTATTGAGGACCTGCTGTATTGGTGGGCACTGGCACAATTTCTGAGAGCTTCTATTGGTGAGTAGGGGGTAGGAGTGAAAGGGGGCTCGGATGCTTGGGGAGGTCCTCAGGGAAGCTGAAGGTGGCCCTGGACTTCATGAAGGTGTACCCCCACATCCCCCTTTCCCTTTAGCCCATGACATGTCTCTCCTCCCTCCTTTGTCAATCCACTCCACTCATTCACTAGAGACTCCTACAAGGTGTGTGGTAGACACTGGAGATGCAAATTAAAGTGGTTGTCCACGCCGTCAGGAGGAGGCAGGTGTAATAAACTAATACTACCGTAGGCGACCCTTTCACCGTCCCCACTTCCTGCACTCACACCTCACAATGCGGCCCGAGCACCTCCCACTTCCGGCTCTTCAGTAC